TCCTTCTGGGTGCTGGGAACAGCTGAGCTTCTCTGCCCTAGGAGCCTGGGATGGAGGCGGGGAGCTTCCTTCCTGGTGCTGGGACCGGCTGAGCTTCACTCGGTGCTCTTCACTTCTATTCTGCTTCAAAAACAGATGTAAAGAGGGCCAGGGATTACCTCACCCCAGAAAGAATGGCTGCTATCAAGAAAGCAACCAATAACAAATGCTGCCGGGGCTGTGGGGAGAAAGGAACCCTTCTCCATTGTTGGTAGGAGTGCAGACTGGTGCAACCACTGTGGAAATCAATATACAGATACCTCAAGAAACTAAATTAGAGGTCCCATTTGACTCAGCTATCCCTCTGCTGGGTATCTTCCCCAAAGAATTAAAAGAATCATACTACAGCAATATATGTGCAACCATGTTCATAGCGGCACAGTTTGTAATAGCTAAAACTTGAAAACAGCCCAATTGCCCGTCAACTGGAGACTGGATAAATAAGATGCAGTTTTTCTATAAAATGGGAGTACTACTCAGCCATAAAGAAAGAAAAACTAGAGACATTTATAGCTAAATTGATGCACATTGGGGCCATACTCTTAAGTGAAATAAATAGGACACACATGTATAAATACCGAATAGTTTCTCTAATGTGAAAAACTAAAAGTGTAAATAAGGTTCAAATGGTATAATTGATAATGTGAAATAGGAAGAAAAGGTCTAAAGCAGTAGGAGCAGTGGGAAGGGTAGGGCAAAGGAAAGAAGGGAAAAGAAAAAATATGAGAAAAGAAAAAAATTGGAAACAAAGTCTTTGTAAATGGGGGGGGGCGGTGAAGGGAGGGCAGGGAAATGGGGAAAAAATAAGAACCAGGATACATCATCATCATGTAAAGGTACAAGATCCAATGATGAATGTAACTGTACTGTATACCTAAAATGTACCAATAAACTTGATTAAAAAAAAAAAACAGGGCTGGGGATTTAGCTCAGTGGTTCCACCTTCTGCCAAGCAAGCACAAGGTCCCAAGTTTGAACCCAGTACCAAAAAAAAAAAAACAACAACAAAAAGCAGATGTAAAGTGAGACAGTCAGTCCTCTCTGGTCCCTTACAATCTGATTTAGGGTCAGACAAAAGATGACGTGCCTCTGGATATTCACCACATGTCGACAGAATTTCTTCAAGGAAAACCATGACCTTTCTCAGGGTTCAAGGCACAGACACAAAATACTGATTTGTTCCCTGAATAGACACTTGATGATATTAAACAATTACAGCTAATAGTCAGGGGGTATTAATAATACCTAGTAATATTTAGAAAAAAGAAATCCTTATAACTCAGAGATATATATTAAAATATTTATAAAAGAAATGATTTGATATCTAGAGATGCATTTTGAAAAAATCCAGTGGGAATGGGTGAGAGGAAAGAATCGTGGCCAACATGGGCTGCTGAACTCAATGTCAGGCACACACTGCCACTGGGTCTCCCCAACCTGCGTCCACAGTGTGGAAGGGCTGAAGCCCATGTCAGTTGAGAGTAAGGCAGAGAAGGACCATGATACAGCTGGAAGATCCATTCACTCTCCTGCAAAAGACTAATGCTGGTTGCTGGGTATAGTGCCACATGCCTGGAATCCCAGCTACACGGGAGGCAAAGGCAGGAGAATTGCAAGTTCACAGCCAGCCTGAGCCACTCAGTGAAACCCAGTCTCAAACATAAAAAGGGAGGGCCAACATCATACTAAACGGTCAAAAACTGAAAACCTTCACGCTAAAATCAGCAACAAGATAAGGATGCCCACTATCACCACTCCTGTTCAATATTGCTCTGGAAACATTAGCCATAGCAATTAAGACAAGAGAAAGAAATAAAAGGAATAAAGATAGGAAAGGAAGAAGTGAAACTGTCATTATTTGCTGACGATATGATACTTTACATAGAAGACCCACAAAACTTGGTCAAAAGCCTTCTAGACCTAATTGACAGATTCAGTAGAGTAGCTGGATATAAGGTCAACACTCAAAAGACAATAGCCTTCTTATATGCAAATAGCAGACTCATGGAGAGAGAAATTCGGGATATAATTCCTTTTACAATAGCATCTAAAAAAATGAAATATCTAGGAATCAA